TTGCTCTCACAGGAGTTGATAGCATCATGGTGTTTGCCAGAGACTGAGTAGAGAAAGCAGGAAGGATCAAAAAGGAAAGGTTGGAAAGGTTGGCCAATGGGTACTACGTTAAAGGTAAGCAGGAGTAAGATGGTCTGTTGTGCTGCTGCATCAAAGGGAATATGTACTGCGTATTCCAAAATAGACAGAAAAGATTTTGAATGTTTGTACTGAAGAAATGATAAATGTTCAATGAGATAGATGTGTTTGGCCTAATTTAAATATTTCACTATGGATCAAACTAATCATATTCCATTAATATGTCTAACTTTTATGTTTTAATTTATCAGTAAAAGTTAAATTTAGCTAGTTAAAAGTGTCCTTGGGGTCTGGTGACTTAAAGAAACAGCATTTTCTAGACACCACAGTGAAGATACATGTATGAACTCAGAGACAGTGACAGCATACACAGATCTCCACAGACTCAAGCCAGAGAAAACCAGCACAAAGGAAGGGATGTGGGCAAAAATTCCCATCACTGGCCAAGATTCTGGGAAAAGGAATTATCAGTTTACTTCAAGTGACAGTGGATATATCAGTCACACTCTCAGGCATGCCCTGTGCTCTGAGTAGGCGGCCAACACAAACCAGGACTCATGTTTTCTAGTAGCTTTTCTCTTTTGTCTTTGATTTTTTAAAAATAGGAACTGGAAACATGACTCGGAGGTTGATAGCACTGACTGCTCTTCCAGATGTCCTGGGTTCAATTCCCAGCAACCATGGTGACTCACAGTCATCTATAACCGAATCTGATGCCCTCTTCTGACATGTGGTTAAACATGCAGTCAGAACATTGTATACATAACAAATAAATAAATCTTCATAAAAATGGAAATGTAGAACATGAAGTTGGGTAGGTAGGGAAGGGGGAGGATCTAGATGAAGTTAGAGGATGGAAAAGTATGCAATAAAATATATACTGTATGAAATTATGAAAAGTAAATAAAATGTCATTAGGTCACTCATGATTGTATTCATATTTATACCTTCTTGTATATTTATTAAAGTATACATTAACTTGAATTGATCTTAAATTATGTACATCTTATTAAGGAATTAAGCCTTACTTAACTCCTTTTTGTCAGTATCCTAATGTGCTAGATATAATCTTTATTTTGAATTATGACATCATTATTTCCTCAATTTCACATAAGTAGAATTATATTGTACATTTTGACTGAATTTTTATTTTCAGAATAAATTATTCATATTCACCCAATATTGTTATGTATAACAGTAATTCTTTTAAAAGAAAATAGCATCAGTATTTAACACTGTATAGAAAATACTGTCAATTACATAAAGAAAGCATACACTTATATGCCACTTGACAAAGTCAGTGAATACACTATACTCTACAAAATTCATACAGTATGAATTTCAAAATTATAAATATCAACAAGTATAGCTGAAGAATGACATACAAACTGGTCACTCAGATCATTTTCTCACAAACTCATAAAGTCATTTTTGTTGAGATCTCATTATTGACTACTTATCAAAATATATAAAAAATTGTCAATGGTGTTTTTGATTTTAGCCATTCTGACAGGTGTAAGATGGCATCTCAAAGTTGTTTGGATTTGTATTTCCCTGATCGCTAAGGAAGTTGAACAAGACCTTAAGTGTCTTTTGGCCATTTGAACTTCATCTGATGAGAATTCTCTTTTAAGTTCAGTACCCCATTTTTTAATTGGGTTAATTAGAATTTTCATGTTTAGTTTCTTGAGTTTTTTATATATTTTGGAGATCAGACCTTTGTCTGATGCGGGATTGGTGAAGATCTTCTCCCATTCAGTAGGATGCCTTTTTGTCTTAATGACAGTGTCCATTGCTTTACAAAGCTTCTCACATTTCAGAAGGTCCCATTTATTCATTGTTGCTCTTATTGTCTGTGCTACTGGGGTTCTACATAGGAAGTGATCTCCTGTGCCCATGTGTTGCAGGCTACTTCCCACTTTCTCTTTTATCAGGTTCAGTGTGGTCAGATTAACATTGAGGTCTTTAATACATTTGGACTTGAGTTTTGTTCATGGTGATAGATATGGATCTATTATCATTCTTCTACAGGGTGACATCCAGTTATGCCAGCACCATTTGTTAAAGATGCTTTCTTTCTTCCATTGTAAACTGTTAGCTCCTTTGTCAAAAATCAGGTGTTCATAGGTTTGTGGGTTAATATCCAGGTCTTCAATTTGATTCCATTGGCTGACGTCTCTGTTTTTATGCCAATACCAAGCTATTTTCATTACTGTAGCTCTGTAATAGAGTTTGAAGTCAGGGATGGTAATGTCTCCAGAAGTACTATTATTGTATAGGATTGTTTTGGCTATCCTGGGTTTTTTGTTTTTCCATATAAAGTTGATTATTGTTTTCTCAAGATCTGTGAAGAATTTTGTTGGGATTTTGATGGGGATTGCATTGAATCTATAGATTGCCTTTGGTTTGAATTGTCATTTTTACTATGTTGATTCTACCCATTCAAGAGCATGGGACAGCCAGAACCTGGAAACAACCTAGATGCCCCTCATTGAAAAAATGAATAAAGAAACTGTAGAATATATACACATTAGAGTACTACTCAGCAGTAAAAATAATAATAATAATAATAATAATAATAATAATAATAATAATAATAATGATATCTTGAATTTGGCATGCAAATGGATGGAAATAGAAAACACTATCCTGAGTGAGATAACCCATACCCAAAAAGATGACTATGGTATGTACTCACTCATTAGTGAACTCTAGCCATAAACCAAGGACCTTAAGCCTATAGTCACAAGCCTAGAGAAGCCAAGTAACAAGGTGAACCCAAAGAAAAACATATATAGAGCCTTCTGGAAATTAAAAGCAAACAAGATTGCTGGGCAAAAGTTGGGAGCATGGGGATGGGGTAGGAGTGAAGATGGGGTAGGGGGAAGGGGAGAGAGGGAGAAAAGAGGGAGAAGGGAAAAACTGGAGAGAGCTTGAGGAAATGGGAGGGTGGAAATGGAGAAAGGGTGGATATAGGAGCAGGGAAGAAGATATCTACATTAAGGGAGCCATTTTAGGGTTGGCAAGAGACTTGGCTCTATAGGGGATTTCAGGTGTCCATGGGGATGTCTCCAGCTAGGTCCTTGGGCAGCAGAGGAGAGGGTGCCTGAATTGGCCTTTCCCCACTATCACACTGATTATTATCTCGAATATCACCACAGCATCTCCATCCGGCGACAGATGGAGATAGAGACAGAGACCCTCATCAGAGCAACGGACTGAGCTCCCAAGGTCCAGTTTGAAGAGCAGAAGAAGCGAGAAGACGAGCAAGGAAGTCAGGACTGTGAGGGGTTGGTCCGCCCACTGAGGCAGTGTGCCTGTTCTAATGGGAACTCACCAAATCCAGCTGGTCCAGGACTGAACGAGCATGCGAGCAAACCTGACCCTCTGATTGTGGTTGACAATGGGGGCTGACTGAGAAGCCATTGATAAAAGCACTGGGACTTGTTTTTAAGGCATATTCTGGCTTTTGGGGACCCTAGTCTATAAGGATGCACAGATTCCTAGGCCTGGATGTAGAGGGGAAGGCCTTGGATGTCCCACAGGGCAGGGTTCCCTGCCCTCTCTCAAGCTGGGAGGGGAAGGCAGGAGGGTGAGTGGGGGACAGGAGGAGATTGGGAGGAGGGGAAGAAGTGTAAATTTTTGAATGGAAAAATCAAAAAATAAATTAAAAAAAAGATAAAAAGAAAGAAAGAAAGTTGGAGAATGTAGAAGGTGCTGTGAAATGCTTGTATTCTGGACATGATGTCTTAGTTCATACTAGCTGTGGCTATCAGCATCAAATCAAGCCAGTCAACAACAGCATGGAGAGGGTGGAGAGCACAGTGGGCTTCCCTGATAGCTGAGGAACCCCTAGAAGTTAATGACTGCTTGAGAAGAGTTATTTTTTGAGGGTATAGCTTCTGATCATTTGCACATGCTCTAGTATATGACCACACACCATGTACATATAAGCAGAATTAACAGGATGCAATGGATTATAAAATATGAAAAAGAAGAAGACATGAAGTTGGGAGGGGGATGTGCTGGAAGGAATTCTGGGGGACTTAGAGGAGGAAGTTGGGTTAGATAATCAAAATACATTGTATACATATATGAAATTCTCGAAGGATAAATTAGCTAATGATTTTTTAAAGAATATATATTTTAGCATTCTCTTATTTCTTACTGACAATATTACAAAGTAATCACAATTCCTTTCATATCCTCCCATCAAGAGATACAACTTATTTTCTATTCCTTTCATCAAGTCTGGTTTTGTAATTTATTTGTTTTAATAGAATGGCAGAGTCAACCATATCACACTGGGCTTGAGCATGTGTCCTAAGCGGCTTTGCAGTCTCTTTTGACTGCTGTTTTTGTAACCTCTGCTATTGTCTTTATGTGGAAAAAAGCTGAACTTTGGCCTGTTTGTGCTGACTAGAGAAGTCTTATTTTAAAAACAATTTATATATATACAGAGAGAGAAAGAAAGAGAGAAAGAGGGGAGAGAAAGAGAGAGAGAGAGAGAGAGAGAGAGAGAGAGAGACCTAGCTAAGATATTGAGGACTGATAAATCTTCAGATGGCTCAGTAGTTGCTCACAGAAGCAAGAGTTTCAAGCTGAGAAAATCATTTCCATCTTGGGTCACTAGAAGAACCCAGCTTAACTCAATACAAATCCTTAAGCCACAGTTTATGTATTATGAGTTTAAAAAATACTGGTTGGAGCAGTAGAGATGGCTCAGCCATTAAAGGCAGGGCTCACAACCAAAAATACATAAAATCATGCTTTCAAGCCAGTAAAATTTTAGAATAGTTTATAAATAGAAAAAGCAAATTGATGCCAATCAGTCATGAGTTTTGACTGAAAGAATAGCATTTAGAAGTATATCAACATCGTTAGTATCGAGCAATGAACACTTGCTATGTGAATAGCCTTACCTTAATTGGATTTCTATAGAAAGACTGCCATCCAGATGACGGAAATGACATAGCAATAATACGCTCTGGAAGTCAAAGTAATTGCTATGATGACTATCATAATAGAGATGACAAAACATACAAAAATTTCAACTACATATAGCAAAACTCCTTTTTTAATAAAAACAACATTTGAAATAGAAAAATAACAATTCTCTGAATAATCAAAATGATTTACTATATTAAATTACTTGATATAATAATAACCATTAAATGGACACAGTGATCCTAAGACTCAATTGGTTCATCTATCGACCACAGATTTCTATAGGGCTAAGTCTGAAGCCTCCTCAGTGTCAGTAAAATTTCTTTAACAAACCAAAGAAAACAGCCTGAACTCCAATAAGCAACTTCCAGAGTACTTTCCAGGCATGACTCAGGAAATCTGAGACCAAGAGAAAAGAAACCTCAGTTTCTGGAGTTGTAAGGAAATTGAAAATTCTCCTGGGATCCTTGAAATCATGGCTAACTACCTGAGCTGAATAAGACTATTTCAGTCAATAACCCATCCCACCTCCTGAACTACAATCAAATAGTTCTGGTTTTAAGTGACATAAGTAGATATTTCCATTGCCATGGTCACACTGCCACAATGGCATGTGTGCTCCTAGATAAAGAATGCTTTGAAGTAACATTGCGGTAATCAAAAGAGTATGCAGCATCTACTAGTCACACACAAAATGCCAAATTTTTATAAACAGTATCAACAGGTAAGTATCACAAACCAGTTACATAAGTGAGGTCCAGGTCAAACCCATCCTTCATGTATCGTCTTTTGTTTCCTGAAACCTGAATTGGAAAGTCATAAAGTTGTAAATATAGATCATCAGGAAAAAAATAACAAAATATACAAATCTACAACCTGAAACACACACACAAAAAAAATGTGTGTTGCCACTCACCCGTCGCCTGATCAACTTTTCCAGATCTCTTTTTTGATGAGCCAGTTGCAAAATTCTTATCAGAATAAAAAGCCGCAGAGGTCGAAATACAATTCCCAATCTAAGTAAATTTATACATAAAAATTTAAGTACTCATTTTTTGCTAGAAAATAAACAGAATGGTTATTATGTATTAAGTTTAACACTTATTCATTCATTAATTCACTCATTCATTTTTGGTGGTGCTGTGGGTCAAGTCCCAAGACCCTGTGCAAGCTTGGCAAGTTGCTCTACATTGAGGCATGCTTCTAGTTCTGTTTTCATTTTGGAACAGTGGTTCTTGACCAGGGCAGTGTTCTTTTACTTCTATGTAGAAGATAATTGTCCATATCTAAAGACACTTTTGATTGTCATATTATGTGGGTGTGTTGCTACTATATTAAGAGGATATGGGATAGGTGTACTAATAAATGTTTCGTCATGAATGACATCCTTTGCCAGAATTATTTGACCTAAAATGCCAATAATATTAAATTTGGAAAAGATAAACTCAGAATTTGTGGTTTAACACCAGTTTTTCTTTTTTTTCCCTGCTCTGTGAGTGTGCATGTTTGTGTGTTCATCAAAACACAGCCTGTAATATTTATATCAGTAAATAAGGATTCACTATTGCTGGTAAGGACATTTCAGAAAATAGAGTCAAATATTAGCCAAATAAGCTCACTGTTGTTTCTCCTACCATTAAAAACACCAAGGTAGAGAACTACTCTTTGAAAAACTGGGTATGTAATTTGAAGCCATATGAACAAGGCACCATGAAGAGCTCTGTAAAGTTCTTCAAAGCATGGGGTATGGAGTGAAGGGGTGGCTCAGCAGTTAAGAGCACTTGCTCTTGTAGAGGACATGGGTCTAGTTCCCAGCACCCAGACGACAGCTCACAACCATCTGCAATTCCAGTTCCAGGGGATCGAGTTCTCTTCTCTGGTCACTGATGATGTATGGTGCATCAAAACACCCAAACAAATAAAATAAAAATGAGTAAGTGTTTTTTTTTAAAGTAAATTTTATTAAATTATAAAAGTTTCCATTTCCGCCCCTCTTCCCAACACCCTCCCACTCCCCCCACTCCCTCTCTTCCTCCCTCTTCGTCCCTTAGGGCAGTCAGGCACTCTTGGTTACAGGGAAATCCCGGGACTGCAGTACTATCTATTATATCTAAGGTGTTTGTTATTGAAGCGCAAATGGGAATTTATGAAATTATATTACATTCTGAAGTTAAAGTTGATATAAGAGGAGTCAAGTCTAGTTTTTTCCCTTTGTAATTTTTATTCAGTTAAAGATTGTTGGTGTGTATATTCTCAACATACCCTTAAATACCAACATGTTTTAATTTTAAAGTACATGGAAATTTATATGAACACTTATTTGTAGACAACTTATCTGGCACAGTCAAGAGAGTTCAGTCAAAATAGTAAATAAAACCATGGGAAATGCAACAAATCAAAGGAAGCAAACAACTCAAAAACACAAAAGAGTAGTTTTGAGAGGAAAATAATATGTTTCATACATTGGGACATCTCTAAGAAACTTCTTCTCATAAAACATGACCGTGATGGCGATGAACAGAGTCACACCAATAACGACGGCATCTAGGGTGTTCAGTAAATCAGAAAAATAGTGTTGTCTCCTGGAGCAGAAAGATGGGAAAGTTTCAGAGCACAAGTTATTTGACTCATCTTCACGAAGAATTCTGTTTTCAGTCCTATCAGTAGTACCAGGAAGAAGAAAGTGGATCATCCTACCCTCTCCTGAGATTCTAACCACTTACTGGCTCCTGATCCCCACCCTGTCACCTGCATATAATTATGTTCCAAGCACAAGTGTTTTGTGGGTGTGTAGGCTGGCTGGAACTGAGACCTGGCCAATAACTTTTGAGATTTATCACCTACGATGGGGAGGAAGTGGCCAAGTTGTTCATGCTTCTGCATGTAACTGCAATAAACTCACTAATTATCCAAAATAAAAAGAGTCCTGTCTTAATCTGTTTAAAATGCATTATCAAAACTACTTGAGTAATGGAAACGTACATCAATATAGAGTTTTCAAGTGTTAAAGCATCTATTCTCTCTCTCTCTCTCTCTCTCTCTCTCTCTCTCTCTCTCTGTCTCTCTCTCTCTCATCTATCATGTCTCGCTCATCTGTTTATTATCTGTCTATCATTTTTCTGTCTATCATCTGTCTATCTATGTATCTATCAATCTGTCTATGGATCAACTATCTGTCTGTCTATCATCTGTCTATCTATATATCTATCAATCTGTCTATGGATCAACTATCTATCTATCATCTATCTATCTATCTATCTAAAGTGTCAGGATAGAAATTCATAATTGATAAGAAACAGAAGTAAACTACTGAGCAAGAGGCAAGAACTTCCTTCTCCTTTGTAGGTAAAGTAGTAGACAATATGCATTGCTGGTGAGCAGATGAAGCGGGAGTATAGAGGAACTGGGAATGTGAAAGTATATAAAAGAAACTTATATAGGGAGAGGGTTCCATTATGATATGGCTTTGTATGAATACTGGTGTTTCAATGAATAAATATAGTCTGTCCAGGTAAAAAACAGACTTCTTTTCTTCATATGTTATTACTGGTATTCTAGAGAAAATTTCTTCTGATTTTGAGATAGCACCTATTTTTAGATGGATGTTTTTCAGTTGTCTTAGTTATGGTTTATATTGCTGCAACGAAATATATGACCAAAACATAAGTTGGGGAAGAAGGGTTTATTTGACTTACACTTCCACACTGATGTTTATCACCAAAGGAAAACAGGACAAATATTCAAGCAGAGCAGGAACCTGGATGCAGGAGCTGATGCAGAGGTCATGGAGGGGTGCTACTTATTGGCTTGCTCCCCATGGCTTGCACTAGAAAAAAGTTTAGAGCCAGGTGTGGTGGGACTTGCCTTTAATCTCAGCACTGGGAGGGCAGAGCTGGCTGATCTCTGAGTTTCAGGTTAGCCTGGTCTAGAGATCCAGTTTCAAGACAGCCAGTCTTAGGCAGTGAAGAACAGAAAGCTAGTAAAAAATGTAATTGAATGAGGAAGCCATGTTCCAGGCCTAGCAAGTAGCAAAACTTGTCAGCTTCTACCATGTGGTTCTAATTTTAGAGTTAAGGACACAAGAAATGGATTATGTAATTTGCTGTCACACCTAATGAAAACCATTGAGGCCAGGCAAGTGTCAGGGTGAATGGAGGCCTAGAGAGGCCATTTTGTGAAGCTATGAAGTTGAAGCCTGGGTTGCCCTGGAGACCCCAAGATGTTGGAGATGCCCCAGAGTTGTGGGGTATCTGCCGAGGAGAGCCGCTGACAGGGAGTGTAACCGGCCCAAAAGAAAGAAATGTGTTGCAGTCAACAAAGCTGGATGGAGTTGGGGATCTGAAGATCATTTTGACATCAGACATGAAAATGTAGAATTTGGAATTTTCCCTGTTTGCTTTATTTCTTGCTTTGGTCCAGTATTTCCTCAGTATGCTACCTTCCCTATATTTGTGAATGGTAATATATATCCTGTGCCATTATGTGTTGGAAGTATGTGATCATTTTTAATTTTAATTTTATAAGGAATTACAGTTAAGAGATTGCATGAATCTCAGAGGAGACTTTGAACTTCAGACTTTTAAACATTGTTGATACTGTGACAAACTATGGAAGTTAGACTAAATGAATTTTGCATTATGAAATTGTTACAATTTTGTGGGGGCCAGGGATTTTAGGGAGTATGACTTTATAGGAGTAGTTATAACCTTGTTGAAAGAAGTATGTCACTGAGGGGGCAGGCTTTGAGAATTCCTACGCTCAGGATATTTCCCAATGTTTCAGTCAACTTCCTGTTACCTGCAAGCCAAGATATAGCCAGCACCATGTCTGCCTGCATGCTGCCATGTTCACCAACATGATGATAATGGACTGGACCTCTGAAACTAAGTAAGCCACCCCAATTAAATATTTCTCTTTATAAGAGTTGCTGTGGTCATGGTGTCTCTTCACAACAACAAAAACCCTAACTAAGACAATCACATACATGTTTCTTTTATTCATGAACATATAAACACAATGTTAGCCTGGCTTGTCCTTGAAGCCCTCTTAAGCTTTACCAATTGAGAAACTCATCTGCAGTACATTGTTGTAGAACACTGACAGCACTGACAAAGCTGCTCTACATAAAACTGAATTTAGCTTATTGCGTTTCTGTGGAACAAACCTATAAGGAGAATCACTTTGATGGAGAATCCATTTTGTTGAGCTGACATGACAATTCTTACAGGATACTTCTTATGTCATTGCAAAAATTGGCTTTATGCTTCAAAAAAATAAGGAGAATCACACTTACCCTTCTATATATACTCGAAGAAGAACATCCACAAGGAAAAACAAAGCAATAGCAAAAGAAACTGAACTGTATTCCAAAGGAATATAAAATCTGTTTTTATTAAGATGTAGATCTATAGCCACAAGAAATATGTCCAGAAATATCAGCATAATTTCAAATATTCTAAAATGAATAAACAGAAAGAGTGAAGGTGTTGTCTCCATAGTGACACAATATTAAAGTCAATGCTCAGATGTCCCCAAAAATTCTCATTTAAAGCTGAACTGTCCTGTGACAGAAAGAACAATGCTGCTTTAGAGTCTTAAGAAAACATTCAGTTTTCACACAATAAAAGCAGTGATTAAAATCTGCACCAAGCCCCTCCATACTTCCTACAGCAGAGATGTCAGTTGAACTCTCTAAGCTAGAACAACAAATCTAAATTAAAGTCATAAGCTTCTCAGTGTAAACTCTTTAAATGCTCAGAATTTATAATGACGTTTTACAAATTTCTCATAATAAATGAAATCACATTAGTCCAAATAAGTTTGACTTTAGCAAAAAAAGAAGTGAAAGCATGAATAACATATTCCCTTTAAAATACACTTTCACCAGTAAATACATGATTACATATGCACGGTTTCACACATGGATCCTGTACACAGACCAGATACATGATAAATAATCCAATTTCATAAATATTGAATGATTAATTGAACTCTTAATTGTTCCAGACTTTTTCTTGCATAATCTCAAAAAACTTATATGATTATTTTCCTAAATTACAAAGATGAATCAACTCAACTTTAAAGTATGCTTTTTAAAAACTATTAATACAATTAAAATATTTTTAACTTGGGAGTTGTCAAAATAGTTCAGTAGTAAAACACCACTCATGCTTGAATTCCCCAGATCCATCCACAGCATCTATGCAAAAGTAGGGTACAGGGCAGTGCAGCACTTAAAATCTCATTCCTAGGCAGGTGGAGACATAAGAATCTTGGGAAATCATTGACCAGTCAGCACAGCCTAAGTGAGTGGCATGTATAATGAGAGACCCTATTTACAAAAAAAATAAGATGACAAGACATTGAAGAAGATATTCAATGTTGAGTTGTGGATACACATACATATATACTCACACATCTGTACAAATAAGAACACCATACACATACAAAATTAAGTTTAAAGAAAATGATTACACTGCATGGATCTTTGTAATCATGTATCAAATAAATCTAATTAAATAATAAAATATTTCTGGAATTAAGTAATTTTGGTTGTATAAAGCAATTACATAACATTTAGCTTATAATGACAGAATTTAAAAATTGTATTCTTTCTTATTTTTACATTTATAATCAGACAAAAACTAATGTGTAACTATTTAGATTTGAGCAAAGGTTATTTCATTGTACTTCATACTGCTTAGTCTTAACTAAACTTCCAAGACAGATTAGATTACATTAAATGTGGATGCATGAATTAGCAACATTTTGAAGCAAAAAATCTTTTATTTTGTTCTCTCTGGTTTTTTGCAGGTCCCTTTTTATTAAATTTTAAAAAATAAATGTCAAAAATATTTATTTACTTCCATTTCAAGACCCTCACATACCTGAAGGCAACTGATGATACAAGGAAATAGACTATTTCCTTAATCGAGTTCCTATAAAAGTTAGGAAAATTAAATCAATCTCATATTCCTCCTAACATGTATTATGAACTTAGCAAAATAAAATCCCTTTATAAGTATAAATTTTACATAATAGTTCTCATAATATGTATACCAAAATGTCCTATGCTAGTAATTAAAATGTTTGTACTTTTGCTTTTTTGTGTTTCTAGCTAGAATACATGTGAATAAAACACCTTGCTCTGGATATTGAGTAACATATCTTTGCCTGGAAAGCTCCAACTCCAACTTTAAGGAAACATTAAGCTTGGGAACAACCAATTAAAGCATTATGGCTTGGAGACAGAAAAGGGTGGCTTTTAAAAAAGGATTCCAATGTCAGCTCTTCTATTAGCAAATTAGGATCATCAAACCTGGAGATACCTCAGTGTCCTAGCAACAAAATAATGGTTTTCTTTTAAAAAATACAAATTAAAGCCAGGTGGTGTTGGTGCATACCTTTAATCCCACCACTTGGGAAGCAGAGGATAAAAGATCTCTGTGAGTTCAAGGCCAGTGTAGTTTAAAGAACAAGTTCTAGGACAGTTGGGGCAGTTACACAGAGAAACCCTGTCTAGAAACAAACAAACAAACAAACAAACAACAATAACTAAAGGAGTACTCTCAAACTCTTTCTTTAAAGCTAGTATTTTTCTAATATCCAAGCCAGGTAAAGATACAACAAAACTACAGACAGATACTACTTACAAACATAGATACAAAAATCCCCAGTAAGATATTAGCACACTGAACAAAAACACACATTACAAAAGCATTCTCCATGATAAAGTTGGCTTAATCTTGCAAATGTAGTGTTGGTTCAATATACATAAGTCAATAAATATAGTAAATCAAACAACTTGAAAAAGCATATGATTATGACAAGAGATGTAAAAACTGCCTTTGAAAAAAATCTGACATGCTTCATGACAAAAGTCCTGGAGAAGTAGAAGTGGAAGAAGTGCTCTGGTGTATGAGGTCCTTCCGTTTATGTGTTGCTTTCGTTGGCTAATGAATAAAGAAATTGCTTTGGCCTTGATAGGACAGAACTTAGGCAGCTGGGGAAAGCTAGGCAGAATGCTGGGAGAAGGAAGGCAGAGAAGGAGCCACCACCATGGGTCCTCCCCCTGAGACAGATGCCAGTTAGAATCTTTACTGGCAAGGCACTGCCACGTGGCAATATACAGATTAATGAAATGGTTTAAATTAATGTAAGAGTTAGCCAATAAGAAGCTAGAGCAGTGTTTTAATTAATACAATTTCTGTGTTGTTATTTTGGGGGTAAGCTAACTGGGTGGCCTGGATGAACAAGCAAACCACTCCTGTAACAGTGCTCTTCAACATAATAAAGGGTGTATATGACAAACCCACAGTCACATTGTCCTAAAAGGAGAAAAACCCAAAGCAACGTCATTAAAATCAGGATGACACAGAGCTGCCAGTTATCCTCACACTAGATTGCCGGAAGCTCTAGCCACAACAATAAGGCAGGAGAAGGAAATTGCAGGTCTACAAACAAGAAGAAAACTTATCCTTTGTTTCAGATGATATGATATTATACAGAAATCCCAAAATTCCACCAGAAAACTGCTAGGAATAATCAACACTTTCAGCAACATGGATGGTACACAATCAGTTTACAAAAAGGCTTTCTATACATCACAGCACACATACATAGAAAGAGATAAAGGACACACCCTGATTTACAACAGCATCAAAGACAATAAAATATCTTGGAATAAACCTAAACAAGGAGGTAAAAGGCCTCTACAATCAATACTTCAAATCTCTGAAGAAGCAATCGAGAAAATGGAAAGGTACTTTATGTTCATGGATATACAGCACTGATATTGTGAAAATGACCATCCTACCAAAACCTATTTACAGAATCAATTCAATCTCAATCAAAATCCCCATCTTATTCTTCACAACAATAGAAAAAAGTCTTAGGGAACCAGAAAAGACCCTGGACTGCCAAAGCAATTCTGAGCAAAAATAATAACACTGGAGGTGCTGGAGAGATTGCTCAGAGGTTAAAAGTACTGGCTGCTCTTCCAGAAGATCTGGGTTTGAGTCTCACCAACCACACTGCAGCTCACAACTGTCTGTAATTCCAGTTCTAGTAGACCTGACACCCTCATACAGACATACATGCAGGCAAAATATCAATACCCATAAAGTATAAATATATAGATCATTTTTAAAAATAATAATACTGTGGTGATTTATTATTATTATTATTATTATTGAGCTCTACATTTTTTTACTCCCCTCCCTAGTTCTCCCCTCCCCTTCAACCCTCTACCAAGTTGATCTCCATGCTCCAAATTTATTAAGGAGATCTTGTCTTTTTATTCTTCCCATGTCGATTATATCTATGTATGTCTCTCTTAGGGTCCTTATTGTTGGCTAGGTTCTCTGGGATTGTGATTTGTGGGCTGGTTTTCTTGCTTTATGTTTAAAAACCACCTATGAGTGAGTACATATGATAATTATCTTTCTGTATCTGGGTTACCTCACTCAAAATGATGTTTTCTAGCTCCATCCATTTGACCGCAAAATTCAAGATGTCATTATTTTTTTTCTGCTATGTAGTACTCCATTGTGTACCACATTTTCCTTATCCAGTCTTTGGTCGAAGGACATTTAAGTTGTTTCCAGTTTCTGGCTATGACAAATAAAGTTGCTCATGTCTTTGTGGAACGATTGAGCATCCTTTGGGTATATACTCAAAAGTGGTATTACTGGGTCTTGAGAAAGATTGTTTCCTAATTTTCTGAGACATCACCACATGGACATCCAAAGGGGCTGTACCAGCTTGCATTCCCATCAGCAATGGAGTAGTGTTCCCTTTAACCCAAAACTTCTCCAGTATAAGTTGTCATCAAAAAAAAAATCATCACAGTAAAAAATAATAATAATACTGGAGGGATTGCCATTTCAGACTTTAAGATATATTATAACAATAATAAAACCAATATGGCACCATCACAAAAACAAACATGTATACTAATTGAACAAAATACAAGAACCAAGCATGTCTTTCCGTATCTGACAAAAAGGCAAAAACAGCATTTTAAACAAATGGTGCTTGGAAATCTGGATATCCACATGCAGAAGAATAAAATTAGACCCATATCTCTTACCCTACCCTACAATTAGATGCAAGTGGATCAAAGACCTCAATTTTAAACCTGAAACACTAAAACTGCTAGAATAAAACATTGGTTTTCTCTACAAGATATAGGTAAAGGAAAGAATTTTCTGAACAGGACTTTATTTACCAAAGAATTAAGGAGAGAATTGACAAGTGTGGTACCTTGTAAAAATAATACCCTTCTATAAAGCTAAGGAAATAATTGATTGAGTGAAGAGAAAACCTACAGAATCTAATAGAATCTTTGCCAGGTAAACGTCTGAAGGAGAATCAATATTTAGAAGATACAAAAAACTCAAAAAATATGAAGTCAAGGAAATAATAAATGATCCAATTCAAAATAAACTATACAATTAAAAGAAATAGGTTAGGAATCTGAACATACTTTTCAATAAAAGAAAAAAATACGGTTTTAAAAATCTCTAAAAAGTGTTTATCATCCTTAGCAAACAGGGAAATGCAAAATAAAGCAACTTGAAGGTATCATTTTCTCCAGTCAGAATAGCTATAATCAACAACACAATGGACAGCAAATTCTAATGAGGTGTACAGGAAGAAGACCCTCATTCAATGTTGGTAGAAATGCAAGTTTGTAAAGTCCTTCTGGAAATAAGTAAGGGAAATCCTCAAAAATATTTCTAAAAATATATTGTATGACCCAACTATACAACTCTTTGGCATATGCCCACAGGACTCACCATCCTACAGATTGTAGACAGAGGCTGCTTTTTCGTTTCCCCGGCCAACCAGATCCAAAATAATCATACAGAAACTATATTAACTGCAATATTATTTGAGCAATAGCTTAAGCATATTTCTAGTTAGCTATTACATCTTAAATTAACCAATTTCTATTATTTTATATTTTACCATGAGGCTCATGGCTTATTGTTACCAGTGCGTGGGTGTCTTTCTCCTCCTGTGGCTACATGGATTCTCCCTGACTCTCTCCTCTATCTGCCTGGAATTCCTATCTTGCCCTATTATGCACTGTAATAGGCCCAAATAATAAATAATAATAGGCCCAAATAATAAAGAAGATTAATCAAGGTATTCACAGCATACAGAGGTGAATCCCACATCACCTCCTCTTTTCTGTCTAAATAAACTTGGCATGCCAATGTGGGGCTAACTACATCCACATAAAACTTGAGAGAGCTTGGGAAGAAATTTTAGACACAAAAGAATAGTTAAGCAAAGCTTCTTGGTAGCTGGCATTGTTTTTTGGACGGTTTCTATTTGCTGGTCATGAGCAGGATAATAGAGGTTTTTCTGACTCAACAGTAGCAAGGAAGGCTGTGTGGCTTCTTTAGAAGCCAGCTTCCTGATTTGCCAGCACATAGAGCTCTGACTCTTTTGGGAGGCCTGGCTGTGGAGCATTCAAATGGGGTTTGTGAGCCGAGTACTACAACTTGCTTAATTGCAACACGGACCTGCTGTGTGTCTGAAAATGGCGCTGTGAGCATGGCTTGCAGAGCTGTAACTGCAGACCTCCACCATGTTGAACTGTGCAGAGCCAAAAAGTAAAGCAGCCTTAGTCCTAGCCATTCCATTTAGGATTTTAAGAAGTGGTTCTGGTCACACAAGGATTACAGATATGCAATAAAGACAGATTTAGATGAAAAAATACCTCTAAATGGATCACAGCATTAGATAAAGCTATGTAGGCTTGAGAAGAAAAAGAGTATAGACAGTTATAAGAGAAAAGACTGCATACAATCATAGGTTAAAGGAGCAAAGATAATAAAATAGATATTAAACTTGTAGAAAAAAATAATAGAGTAAGAAAAATAAGCAATGTAAAGGTAGAAAATACACAGAGTCTAGTTTATGTATA